CCCTTTGCCCCCCGCAGCTGGGGCGAGGAGTGGGGTAACAAGGGCTACGTGCTCCTGGCCCGCAACGCCGACAACGCCTGCGGGGTGGCCAACCTGGCCAGCTTCCCCAAGATGTGAGAGCTCCTTCTCAGCCTTCCTGCTCCGGAATTCCAAAGCTGACGTCGCTCTCAGGGGGAGGAATCTCCCCTCCTTGGGAGAAGGGAGACACCCCCCCCCTCCCCTCCAGCCTCAGCTTTCCCGGGATTCCTTTGCCCTTCCCGCCGCCGCAGACTTGGCCGGTTCCAGAGTCTGATCCATCAGGAGCTGCTGGTGCAAACACATCCCAGCCCAGTCTCTGCCTTCGGGACACATCCCGGAGGTGGAACATCCCCCATGGAGAGCGTGGATCTGCCTCCCCCCCCCCCAGCCCAGGGGGGGCTGCAGAGAACGAGACCAATTTATTTTTAAAATAAACACGTTGGGAATAAAGGCCGGGACTGGTTCCCTCTGTGCTGGGTGATGTTCCAGAGCCCAAACCCCCCCACTCATGTCTCCCCAAAATCCCAACCCCCCAAAATGCTCCTTTGAACAACACCAACACCAAAATGACCTCAGCAAAGCTTGGGGCAGGTCCTAACAGGGAGGGATGGTGATACTTCAGGTCCTTTCCAACCTGAACCTTTCCATGATCCCACGGGACTTGCTTTAAAAATTAATGCAAAAAAAACCCAGTTTTGTCCCTTAAAAATAAGGTGGGTTTTGTTTTCCCACCCCCACCCTGGGACCTGCAGCTCCTTGTCCTCAAGACCTGCTGGGAGGGTGGGAAGTCGGTGGAGGAAACGTTTGGGGGTTTCCTCAGACCTGGCTTTTGGGGGGGGTGCACTGGGGGGCTGTTCCCACATCAATGGGACACGTCCCTGAGGGATCCGAGCCAGGGAAAAGGGCACGGAGGGTGGGGAGTGAGGGTGGGTTGTCCCAGGGCTGTTCCAGATGCTTTCCAGGTCCCTGCTGTGACCTGAGCTGCTCCTGGGGGTGAATCACCCCGTGCTGGTCATCGAGCTCCAGGGGTGGGAACAGCGACTGGCTCGGGAAAAACAGGTATGGAAAAACCTCTGGAGGCTCCTGGATGAGTCCAGGGAGCTGCCTGCCCGGAGCTTTCACACCCCCATTGGGTGTGTTTGGGGCTCAGCCCGGGGGTTAAAGGGCCTTTGATTGACCCAAGTCCACACACATCACCCAAACTGCCCCTGCCTGGCTCCACACCTGGGAACCGTGCCCTGCAGGAACCTCCCAGCCTTCCTGGCTGCTGAGTCAGCACAAAGGGCTGGCAGAGGGTAACGAAGCTGGTTTGACGTGGGGACCCAGTGGTGACCCCCCCACCAGCTGCCCCTTTGCCTTCCAGTGTCTGTGAACGTGGGTTTGACCCTTTAAAACAGAAGCAGGAGAACCCAAAAGCTGGGAATGGGACGTTCCCACCCGGATGTGCCTC